TTTTTTTTTCGAAGCATTTACAAGAATTTTGCACAGCACAAAATTCTCTACAAGACGTACTATATTAAAGTTTCCCCTGGGCCTTTTATCATACTAAAAAAAGGTTTACATTGAAAAAAAAATTGATTAAACAAATGTGAAGTTTTTTAGAAAAAAAAATTTTTTATTTGAAGACGTTTTTGAAAAAATAACAAAATGTGTCATTTTGTACAGTTTTACGTGCTCTTTCGAATGAGATGTTGCCCAGCGCAAACAGACTAAAATTAACCGAGACAATGACGAAACAAGATAAAACAGAAAACATGGTTATTTTTTCACGTTTCTCCGACCCCCTTCCTGTTTTAATGCCTATAACTCAGTCAAAAAACGTCGTAGAAGCCTAAAAATTTTTTCATAACCCTACTTTTCCATGAGAAATCGATTGATAAAAAAAATATATAGGTCAATTTTTTTTATAAAATGATCCTGTTGACGAATGCTCGATTCACTGGCAAAACTACAAAAAAAAATATAAATGAAGATATATTTGATTAAGAATGAGCTCTATTATTTGCTTGACTTAATGTAACTTTATTCTTTTATTGTAATAGATAATAATTTAAAAAAAAAACAGAGGTCTAATAATAAAGAAAATATGACGACAACAGTAAGTACATCGTCAGATTTACCTGATAAAGATCAAATTCGTGTACATGTTCGACGTGACGGTTTGATTGAAAGACAAAGATTTAATGCACGAGTTTGCAGACAATTATGTAAATATGATGGTGGAGAACAATGTCAGGCATTTGTTGTTTATAGAAGGCTTTGTGTTGGACATTATCATCAAACATCAGGTATAACTATTAATGAATCAAAACGTAGACAATTAATTCAACAATCAGCAACTGCTGGGGCATCATCAAAGGCAACAACAGCAACAATGATACCATCAAAAATTCAATATTGTTAGCATAGTTATTAATATTGACATTTTCTGAGAATGAAATTTTTTTTGTTTTATTTTTAGCTATTGCAACACCTTTAACTCTTGGTCTTAAAAGTAGGTTATTGATTTGTTTAACGATGTATTTCTTTTTTGTTAGAATTCTAAATAGATTGGCGACGAAAAACAGCACCACCGAATTGTAAGTGGTATTAATATTATTAGAGCATTTTGGAGCGCATTGAATGGTATATAAGAAATCAACATTGATTCAAATTTTCATGAGCTATGAGTGCATAAATTGGTTATCATCTTTGAAGAATATAGATGGTACTCATAGATATTGTGGTTGTTAAGATAAAATCATGCAAATTTAGTTTTTTTTAAACTGAATTCGATGCAGTTATTATTGGTTCTCTTCAATCACCTATAATCAATAGTTTTCTTCATGCTTAAAGATGATTCGTTTTCTTTGGACTAGATTATATCTTGACGATATTTTAACAAGACGGAACCGTCGTTTTGAAAAATGTTATATACCTATAATCAGCACAGCATCCTCGATGAACTGATGTAAATAACTCTTTTATAAATAGAAAAAAAATTTGTTGGTCTTCAGACCGTTGGCAGTAGTTACGGAAATAAAGTGACAGGAAGAAAATCTGCTATTTGTATTACTTCATTTTCAAAGTTTTATTTAGAGTATTCAGGTTTGCTTTATATATAAAGCTCTAGACGAGTCTCTAAATCTCTTATGTTCATGTCACTGTAGTCTCCTCCATGGATTTGGAAGCCAATTTTATTTTCTATTTAGTAAAAAATTAATTTCTATCAGTTCATCAGCAGTGCTGTGTTACTAATAAATACCATGTAGTGAATATCATATACATCAGAATCTGACTTTAACGTTGATATCTTATATACTATTCGATACACCGCCAATTGCTCTCTTAAAACCATAGATATGATATTCTTTCAAATGCAAGCACTAATTTTTGTTTTGAATTTCATCCTAAAATCAAAGGATGCCCATGTTATATCTGTTCGAAAAATATTCTTAGGAGTATTTATTATCCCTTTGCTCTACTAATCAATAAATTAATCATATATATCATATTATTCTCGTGTGGTTTAGCATCAACATCTGTAAACAAACAATCGTCGTAAATATCCTCTACAACTCAAGTCAATATAATAATAGTAATAAACGTCGAAAGTCAGATGAATGGATTCTTCTTAGACGATGTCGATATGATTCAACTCAAAATAGTATGATACATGTTTCGTGTTATAAGAAAATCGAATTTGTTTGTCTTTTTTTCTTATAATCTTAGTAACGCCCTTTCAATCAATTTTACCTAATACATCAACAACTATAGATGAGTCAACTGCAACATCCGATGGAAGATCGTAGATGAAGAGAATGAATTGTGTATTTTCTTTTTTTTTATATATTTAGTCTAATCAAGCATGTTCATATGCTAGTTCAATTGATAGTCATGCTGATGATTATATTTTGGCTCAAAAGTCAATTTCAATAACTGCATCTCGCCTAACTGATGAACAAATAGTAAGAAGAATCGAAAAAGAAAACAAAAACCAATTATTATTATTGTTGTTATGAATCGAATGTTTCAATCAGGATCGTCTTGATCAATTTCTTCAACGTTTTAATATTCATTATTCAGGTAAAATTGATGAAAAAACAACACATTTAATAACTGATGATACAACAATTCCATTTGTTTGTGCTTTATCATCAAAAGCTGTTCATGCATTAGCACGTCACTTAACTGTTTTATCGATACGTTGGATTGATGAATGTCTTCACATTGTGAAATATGTGGTGATTCAATATGTTCAACAATGTATCATGGTGCTATGCAATGTTCACGTCTTATTCCACGAAGACATTCATTATTTTCTAAACATAGATTTATGCTTAAATGTAATGGTGTACAAAATGTAAATATCATTTTAAATAATTGTTTTTTTCAATGAAAAAAATATAGAGTGTGAGTTTTGAGATTCCCTCGTTGAATCACTCTAAAACATTCCAAAGTCTTTCTCAAAATTTGAATGACTGAAATACATTTGTGAAGATTCTCAATAGTGCAGTTTTTGATTTTTGTGCAGATAAAAATACATGTTCAAGATGTGTGGGATCAAAAGAAATGTCCCAAAAAGTGCTAGTTGTCGACTAAATACAAAAACAAGTATTGAAGAATTTTTAGGTGTGATACGAATAAATTCTGAAATAGTTTTCTTTAGACCGGAACTGTTACCATATTAGATTTATCAAGACCATAATCGAGCCTTCGATCTTGAAGTCTTCCTTTAAAAAGTAAGAATTTTGGAAAAAAAGACTATCATGTCCTACTGATAGCTCTTGAAAAACAATCATAGTCCACAAGAAGTTTTTCACTTGAGAAGGTAATTAGTATTAGTAGACAAGATTTTCTTTCTATCTTTAAAATTTGATTATATTTAGTTAATGGACAATCAAGAATTACGTACAGATCAAGTAACACGATGAATAGCACAAACTAAAATGATTGTTGTTCTTTGTGAACAATCATATGTTCAAGAACGTCAAGATAAATATTGGAAATGTGTTGAATTAGGTATAAGATTTTGCTCGCCAGAATTTATAATTGAATCAATAGCTCAATATCAAGTACAACCTCAACAAAATGAAGATGATAATGATGAAGAATAATACAATAGAATATAAAGAACAGAAACTATATTTTACTTGTCTTATTTTTTTTCTTCTTTTGTTTGTTTTCGTTTATATTTAGTAAGCAGATTATGTGAACAAAGAAGTCGGCGCTAATGAAACGATATATACGTGTGTATGTGTGTGTAAAAACAAAGATTCATCTCGGTGAAAACGAAAGAGATAAATAAAAGATTTTGTAGTTTTGTTGAAAGTGAGAGTCTTTCAAATCTCCTGTTAGGAGATTAGAAGCAATGTGAAATTTGGACTGAATACGTCATGTACAATTTTCTATCAAATCCTGAACTTCAAAAGTCAAAAAAGAAAATGATGCTAAAAGGTTTTGTAGCGTTCTCTTGAAAACAGGTTTCAATAGGAATTGAATTCATCATCGTGTTCACCATATGAAATAACGTTCGAACACAGCTCTGCGACATACCCAATATTTCCGAGATTTCTTTCTACGTTAGCTGTATAGTTTAATCGATCGAAACGAATACAGAAGTAAAAAAATATTGATATCAAAGCTGAAAGGTTCAAAGGTTACAGACAGATTATCTGAAATGGCGGACAAATCCACATTTGACTCAATCAATGAATATGTATTTGAACAGAATCAAAAATAAAAAGTTTTCCAGCAATTCCTGTGAACGACCACAGGTCTCAAAAACCTTTCAGTCAGCTATATGAAAACTAATCTGTGGAATATCAACATCTATCATGTTTTACTTTTTGCTACAGAATTCAAGTAGAATGGAAGACAAACTAATTAAAAATTAGCCTGAAAATAGTACCATCTATATAATTTATCTTTTTGTTGTACAGATCCACTGAAGTGACATTGAAAACAATGCACAGTATAAATTTGCATAATGTCAGCTACCGATTAACAAAAAATAAGTGTTCAATTATTACTGATCTTTCCTGAGAATCAAATGAGTGCTCTCTTCACAACCTGTTCTCCATACTTCTTTTATTACTATAATCAGCATAAATGTTCTTGGGTTCTACAAGAAAGCTTTCAAAATCTCAAGGTTTTTCAAGTATTTTCTATTTTTCTTGACTCAGAAACCTTTTTATTCAATAAAAATATCATACGGAAAATTAGCACAAGAAACTGCATTGAACCATATATAATGCAATCATGATTCTACTTTTCATCGTGTACTAGGCTTATGAAGAACAATTTTAGAGACAAAAAAGCTGTTTATTCGCAAAAAAAAATGTCATCTCCACATGACACACTATAAGTGCCGAATGTACTGTCGACTGCGTTTTTCAACTAATTTTACGCTTGAAAGAAAAGTTCTCATGATTGACGCCTACCCTGTCGTACAAATGCGAAAAAGTTAGACTATTTAGAAACGAACGCATCTCTTGAGGAGTGAAAGTTTCGAAACAGAAAATGTCGAAATACCGAAAAAAAGCTGGTTCTGGTCAAATCTGAGCTATTGTTTTTGATTGAGAATCAGCAGTTTATAGAATGAGTCTGACTTGTGATTAGATAATTTTTTTCATAATCTCAGAATCATGCTAAGATGGCCAGTATGTGGAGCGAAAAATTATCTATCTTTTATTGTTTTTCATTCGTAGAAAACAAGAAATCCGAAAAACAAATTCTTTGTGCAACGACATTAGAACTAAAATTCGATAGAATATTTAATTTTTCAAAGATACAAAATAGAAGTGCGGCGTGTAGACTACGAAACATCCATTATTTTATATAAAAAAATATTCTCAGATACTAATAAATGTCCTAACATTTCTCCAAACGGTCGGTGTACACACGGGTAGATTCTGCATCTCTACCTACTATAGATATAATAATAATAATGTTAAATTAGGAATAACTGAATACGAAAAAGAAAACAAAAACTAATGAATAGCAACAAGGCAAATGAAAAATTTCAGTTCCAATCACAGAAATAGACCAGATGTCATTCAAGTTTCAGTTGATTGAGAAATTTGATGAGCAGCTACGACTGTTGATCGTTTCTATGATTAATAACATAACGCTTTAACGACACTTCACACCATAGAAAATACATTATCTCAATCGTGATCGCCGCATAAGTACAAGAAAATATTATTTCTAGATAAATAAATGAAAAAATTACTCAGAGATAAATTCATAAATGCTGATTTTCTAAAGTAAACAACGTGACTGATACATAGATTTTTATCTATTCTATCAAACATGTCAATTAGATATATTAATTTTATGCATTTTATTCAAATGATAGATAATTCGCTAGCAAAGTTATTTTATCAAACAAGGAAAATAGAGAAGTACTTCATTAAATTCTTTTTTGTTCGGATTAATTACAATCGAATCGTGTTGCATCATTTGTAAAGTTGTTCGTAACAGTCACTAATTGTTCATATTGTATCGCAAGATTCTGAAGACATGGAACATATGTAATTGCATGACGTAGAAATGGACGTGTATCGTATAATATCAAATCAAGAACAAATTGAAAATGATGACTACGAAAACTATTAGTAATCTAAGATATAATCGATAGAACAATTAACTAGAGAATATTTCCAATTCCTACATGTATTTTGAATATCAATAATTGATAAGAAATAATTTGTTTTTAAATTTAACACAATTTTACAACAAGAAATATTCAGAGGTCAATTACAAAGTGAAAGTTGGGCACATATCACCTTTTATACATCGATTCATATTCAACTAAAACAAATTTGTAAAGATGACAAGATCTAGTAACAAGCGAATGATCGACAACCCTTCTAATACTATGATAATAAAGGTGGACTATTCTTTACCTTTTAAATAATATAAAAGTACGTTCGGTAGAGACATTAGGATGTTCACAAGCAAGAAGAATACGTTCCATAGTAACCATCAATTCTTATCTGCTGCATCCATTAAACTATTGTCTATCCTTTCTATAAATTATCTAGAAAATCCAGCAAAAAGTATTATCATAACAATATGAAAATAATTACAAACATCTATCATGTCATATATGACTGGAAGTCAAAGAAAAGATTAAACAAATAGTAAGAATAGAAAATAAACTATTGTTTACTTCAAAAAATCTTTCTATACAGCATTTGATTAAAATTTTCTATAAGATTAATAACAATTAATCATTGGTTCGAAATCGTTATATGCTCATTGAACAACTTTTTAATATCAGATTCAATTTAAAATCAAATAAAACCCACATAATACCACTCGACTTTTTCAACCTAGTATATTGTGAAACTATATTTATTTTATCAGCTGATGAAATTATAATAAAATGATAAAAAATATATGACATTTCTGAGCAAATTTACGAGTTGCTTACGGTTATAATGTTAAGAGTTAATAAACAGATGCTTTTTGTTGTTTCGAAATAGTATTTTGTTTCTAGTCGAAAAGCTTTTCCACAAAATAAATACAATAAATGAGCAACATCCTCAGGATAGTCCGTGCGGATTTGATACGGTGCACATTACGTACTTGCAGTCTGATTCTCTTGAACTGGCACGTACATTAAGTGTACTATGGTCTTATCAAAATACAGTAAACGCAATCCTTGAGGAATACAGCGTCTATGGAGCGCGGTGTGGGGTCAAAGAAATAGAGAATCATTTTTAGACAGTAGATTGTAAGAATTTTTGTAGATACTTCCTTTCATATTGTTTGACCGTGCTTCTTTTCTAATTATTTAAGATAATGTTTTATTGTTCTTTATGATCATCTTTAATATTTTTAGTGCATTGTTATCGACCATTTCGTAATTGTTAAACGTATTTTCTTTTTAACAAAATACATCTTTCTCAATAAGTGTCTTGTCCTAAAAAAAAAAGAAAAGCTTTTGAATATGTTGCGTCTTTAGTTATTTTTATAACTGGCTCTTTTCCAGCATCGATAAGTGTGGCGTCTTGCATTTAAAGAAAACTATATGTGAAATGTATCGAATTCTTTATTTCTGCACAATCTAGGCGCAAGAGTTGTTTGTAAATATTCTTCTTTTTGTAATTTTTTTCCATAGTGAAATTTTTGTTACTAAGAAATGAATAGTAACAATTCAATCAAAATTGTAACTTCTTTATCTCAATGATTTTTTTTTGTTTTAACTGATTTCTATCAATCATTGCATACTGTGATCTTTATTGCCTATAACTTTTGTGAATTGTATAATCATAGAATATGCCAGTTAATAGTCATTTTTAAAAAGTAAATCAAACACATATGTTTATTTCTTTATTCAATTGAGTCTTTATTAGTCAGTTGGTCTGCAATATGCCTCGCAACAATGAGAATAATTGTTAAAATGCAATGAATTCGTTCATTTATATGCATTTTTCATTTTTTCCAAAAAGACGTTTTCTGATTACAGGTCAACAAACTTGTTTTATTGTTCTCGATTACTCCTATTTCGAATACTACACGAATTTTATCATTAGTTGATGTGAAGTGATGATTAAAAAGATTGTGTTTGAAAGCTTTTCGTAAAAGTACTACTATACAGAATTCTAATTCTAACTGCAAACTGGAAATCGATACAAAAAAAACAGTCTAAAGATTTGGATAATCACCTAAAAAACCATTTTTCGGAACATAAATATTTCTCACTCAAAAAGGGTGTGGGTGTGGGGTTGTGTCTTGTCTTCATCAGATCAGTCTACTAACTCTACAATAATCTAGGACTTATGAAATTACTTTTGGCGGCATCCTGCAGGCATAATGATAACCAAATGATGAGGATACGCTGCTTCTTCAGTAGATATTAAATGTACTGTAAAATATTCGTCTCTAGTGCAACTAAAATGGTAACTAGCATATTTAAAGCTTTTGCTGTAAACTATTCGAGAGCATGCAATAGATTGCGTTTCGTGTATGCATTACAAAAACAAATTAGAATACATATCGGATACCAGTATAGAACAATATGGGACTATTTGAATACAGATCGATGCGAGGTTACCGTTTGATAATAAACGAGATATTGTTTTCAACAGACAACGTCGTATGGATGATCGATCAAACTTCTACTGTACTGGATGGATTGAAATCACTTTTTCTTGTTAAATGTACCCTTTTTTTTCTTTTGAAGTTCATATTAACTTATGAATTGGTTTTTGTTTTCGATTGATTTTTGCATGTTTCAATAAACAATCCTACAATGACTGACGATAGACGTGTTAATAATTATTTTTCTTTTTCATTTTACATGATCTCGAAGAAAACAATTCCCATATCAAACGAATATAACAAAGAGAAAAACTCCTATTGAAATCGATCGTTCATTGTTCTTCGAGAGAATATTGCAACGTATTCCTATAAATTGCAACAAATATCTACTGATTTCGGAAATGTGGATTTAACAAAATTCGTCTTGCGGTTTCTTTGGTATTGAATCAATCCAATTTTTTAAAAATGATTTTACTACTTACGATAATTTTATTCTTAGAAAAGGATTCACGGACAATTGTTTTTTTTTATAGAAGTACTGATAGGTAAAGAATCAGACAAAGGTTAAAATTAAAAAAAAAACAGATTTAATTTAGGGAATTGGAGTTCTAATTTGAAGAGTATTCTTCCATTATCACGAATTCTTGATTATTAACAGCGGGTACGATGAAATGAACGAGTTTCTCAATATTTTCTCAATAACTCTGTCATTTGTTATCATTTTGGGTCGAATTTTTTTTGCAAACAATAGAAAATAAAAAAAAAATGATTTGACAAGTACTGTAATAATATATTGCTCAATACGAAAACGAAAGTACGCCAAGTTTTCGTCTAAACTTGTATGTTTTTTATAAGCGTTGGTGCATCACATTGAATGAGCCCTATTATGATGCATACCTATATTAGAACCAAAAACATATTATGTTAACCCAGAAAAATAGTACTTAATTTGTTTTTCTTTCAGATTTGATAGAAAAACATGAGTTCGTATTCGCAAATCTTGTTTTTCATGTAGGACATTAGTTTCGAGCAATTTTTATAAACCAAAATGTTGTATCTTTTCAGTAAAAATTTAGTCCGAAACGATTACATAAAAATAAAATGTTGAGACGCTCATTTATTCTGGTGCACCCATTTGTTTTTAAAGAAATGAAAAAAATTGATCGTTTTCTTTGAATAAAAAAATATATCAAATAGAAAATTTCAGTTTTAAGAAAAGGAAATCTTCAGGTTCAAAATAAATAGCTAAACTTAAAATTCATAGTGTCGGAAGAATCATTTTCGTAACATAAAATAGAGCATACGTTAATCTCTTTTATCTGAAGAATCTATCGATTTTTTATCATTTTCGTTCATGTATGAATGTCATACTGTAAATCATATACAATAATTAAATTCTTTCACTGTTCAATTTACTCATTAATAGTCATCTATTCCTCCTTACTTTTTTTTAACGTAACAAAAAAAAAATTACATATTCTTATCTGACAACATACCACCTATTGTATCAAATAAAACATAAATTATGGTTGTTCATGATTAATCTTTTTTTGTCGTGTTCATAATACACAATATAAGAGTAGTTGAATATGTATTATCCATATATTCATATTCATCGTTTGATGTAATCGACAAAATATTGTATTAACAATAATATAACTAAGATCGAAAATAAAACCACTGAACAGACTATATAAACATCTAATTAATGGTATGTTACTATTTGTATCAATGGGAACGATTCAAAAACTGTAATATAAAAATTAATTTCAAATAATGAATGCTTCAAAAAGTTCTCAAAGGATTATTATACATACTTAGTACTAAGCATCGAATAAAAAACGATGAGATGTTGTTTTTTTTTAATCGGAACAAAAAATCAGAATGTTTTAAAATTACCTGAAATTTTACCGCACATCAAGTATAACAACAATACGAAAAAGTCGAATAATTCTTTATATATTGATTGTATTTTCGATAAGCTAATAATTTATCGAACTATTTTGCTAAAACAAAGAAACAAAAATTTTGAAAATTTATTTTATTTTATTCTTCAATAAATAATGAAAATGATTCAAGAACTACACCTGAGTTTCATATACCACGAAGAGTTGCGTATGAGTATGTGTCCGCTCATCTGCTCTATGTGTTTCTACTCGGAATGCCCATCATCCTGTGTGACCACATGATAAAATAATTCTTTTTTTTAATTGTTCTTTTGCTCTGGCCGTCCACCGAGGACACGTTAAAAAAGACGAGCAAAGAGCATCAATCTAAAAATAAAAAAGAGGAAAAGTAGGAGGCTCTTTTTTCAACTTTTAATATCATAAAAAACACTGACAGTGAAGCGAAAACTCCAACATTGCGAAACTGATCTTTATTAATCTGTTTGGTAGTCGTTTAAATATAACGAGTGTAATAAAAGTTTCTGGAAACATATCAGACTCTTTTCTATTCAAACAGAAAATGATAGAAAGGTAATTCTGTTTTTTAGATAGAGCTTGGTTTCTACTGTGAAAGCATGCTTCATAGATTCCTATTCATACAGTAGCAGCAAAATTTATTCGACTTTTATAGATTTCCTCAAAAAGTAAGATTTAAACATTTTTAATAGTAAGCACATTGTATATGTAAAACTAAGACATGTACCTGTGAGCTAAAGATTTCCGTTTAAGTAAATCTTTTTCTATCGAGATTCACTTACTTAAAATTGTGTCCGTATAAATTGCGAAACTTTCTGTAACAGTATGAGGTGGATGTGAGTATTGGTCATTAAATAGGATCATACCCACACCCACACCCTTGGTACTTTTTCGTGCCTAAACATAATAAAAAAGTTTTTATTTATTTTTTTGTTCGTCTTATGTTTCATTGAACAAAGAATAAACTCAATTGTTTTCAAATAAATCAAAAAAAACATGAGAAACTTCGATGAACAGATTTGACATATCTTGAGTACATTAAAGATATGTTTGCTTTCTTGTTTTTTGGTTCATTTTAAAATTTTTCAAATTTAAAGTCGAGAAAGAAAAAGAAATATTTGATTTGAAAATGAAATATTAATAGTAAAACAAAAACACCTGCTGAGCAACATCAGCTGCTGGTTTCAATTCCAATCAACGTTTCGCAAAGTTTGTTCCAGTTTTATAATTTAAATGCTTGATTAAATGCAGATTTTAATGTCATGATTTTATGTATTGGTTGTTATTGTAAATGAGTACAATAAGCAGCTAATTCACATGAATGTTTTTCATGATCTTTTTTGTAAATCCTTTTTTTTTGTCATTGACATTTGTAAACCAATCATATATATTCTTTACATATTTCAATTTATTGTTAATCTTGAAATTTTTCATTTTTTGCTAAACGATGTTCGATTTGAAGACGTCCACTGAATTCTTCTAATTTTAATCCAACTGCTGGATAAAATAGTTTTGATGAAAGGGCTTCACGCCTTAATAATTAAAATAAAAATTTTAAAATATTTATTAAATAAACAAATAAATACAAACCAATCTCTTACTGAATGTACATATGATGATGGAAGTGCTATAAAAGCTGTACATGAGCGTGAATATATTTGAATAAAGACAAACAAGATCAGGTGGTAATTCAATTTCAATATCACCTCAACTTTCACCTTGTTCATCTTGCTTATTATTAAGATTATCTCTATTAAGATCATCTTCATCACCTTCAATTTGTACTTATTCATCACCCAATCTGGACATGGTGATAAAATTAATTTAGCATTCAGATTTATTTCAGCTAACTAAAATAAATATTTTATTTTGAATTACTAAATACAACATGAGATTAACATTGATTAAATTCTTAGAAACTATTTAATATCTCAAAAAATTGGTATATTTGCACCAAAATCTATAACTAGTTTTCAAGACTTTCAACTGCAAAATATTGAAAAACTAAAATTAAAATTTTAGTTTTTGTTTTGAGTTTTTTAAAACATCCTCGGAAGAAGTATTAACATGAGAATTTTTTTTGGTTGTCAATAATAAACTACTTTTTCATCACGTGATTCTATTGAATAAAAAGCGAAACAAATTCAAACCAATTTTCATCACTTTTCTTAATTGTTCCCATCAGCGTTTACCATATAAAGCTCGAGCAGCTTCAAATGCAATTTAAATAATTGAAACTAATTTGAAGAGAAGAAAAAACAAAAGTAATTTACATCAATATTTCCACATTAAAGGACTACTCAACATCTTGTTCTTTCGACTGTTACAAAATGAAAGTATGAAGTGCCTAAAAAGAGTTTTGAAAAGAAATTTGTAAATTTTACTTCACCGTACTTTCTGTTAATTTATGCTAATTTAAATTTATATTTTGTTGGATCAATATTTAACAATCTTTCAAGTGTACGAATAATTCTATGATCACCATTTAATGAACGTTTTCGTTGAGCATCATATACACTAATATAATCATAATCACGAATTAATAAAAGACCTGTACTACCATAAAAATTTAATAAAAAAATTAAAAAAGGGTGTGGGTGTGGGTGTAGGTATCGGTGGGTAGATCAAGAGTAACATGCACACCCACACCCCACACCCACACCCACACCCCACACCCACACCCACACCCACACCCACACCCACACCCACACCCACATACACACCCTCTTTTTCGGTGTTCCTGAGGGGGACCACAGCTTTCATTTAAAAACATACCGTAAAAGTGCAGTATCTCCGTAGCAATAAGCTAGCAGCCCGAACTTTTTTCAGGGTATTCATAACTCTTTTTTATCTACATAATGCACATAGCCTCAACGCAAAAAACGATTGATCAGTTGGGGACCTTCGCTCGTAAGTGAAAGCAGCCGACAGGACTGGTACAGACGGCATGAGCGCACTCACATTCGTAGGAAAGTACGATTTTGAATGAAATCTACAATTTTTCTGAGAAGTTTTGAAATATTCATGTTATGAGATATTTAACAAAATAAAGCAGAAGAGTCTGGATGAGCCGTTGGCTTTCGAGTGATTTTTATAACATGGGTATAACATTATTAACTTTAGGTGATCGATCATGCGTTTGGATAATGAAAGAAGAACATAGAGTTGCGAACAGAAGGAAACTTCAGATCGGTTTTAGTTCGAAAAGCAAGCTTTTGAATTATAGATTTTGGTCTAGTGACTTCGATTGTCGATTCATGACACATTCCATGTAATAGTTTGATACATGGATACAATCGATTTTTCATTAGAATTATGTTAGCTATTAAGCTGCAACTGGCAGGGCGAATGATGAGAACTACATAGTTCATTATGATTCTTGAGAAGTGACAGGCATTAGGTGCAAGTACAGTTATTAGAATTTGTTTAGTAACTCGAATTACCGTAAGATGTTGTTGCAATATATTTATTGGAGACGTACATCTTGGATTGGCCTGAATTCGACAAATGAACACTCACATCCACACCCTAAAATGATAGTTGCTGATTCCTATTGTATGTATCGTATATATTGTCATTAGGGAGAAAAGAAGTTATGTATTGAAGGTGTAATCTGACAATATACATAAGTTTTTTCAGTATAATAATGTTAAATTAATTTAATAAATTGGTAGAATAGTAATTCTAAATGAGAATAGTTTCGAATAAATAAAGTTTCAGAGCGTGCGTGTCAACTATAAAAATTGCTATCATTTTGATACATTCATTCATTTGGCACTTCTTAAAATAAATTATTTTAACCTCTGGCAACATACCATGCATTGATAACAGTGAGAGTTTGTGTGCTCCGCAGTTTCGCTCCTCATGGAACCGCATCAACAACTTTTTTTTGGTAAAAATCTAACGATGAATTCAAATTCCTTACGACCAATGATTGAAACTTAAAAATTCAGGGGTGCATACACAGAATCCAGATCAATCATTTATGGTCGTGCATGACTGTATGGCATCGTATTATCGTACTCAGAAACACTGCTCGAATCCTTTACCTACTGTAGTCAAATTGTATATTGATCGTTTAGAATGCTTCACGAACCTAGAGAGTGTGGGTGTAGATTTTGGAGGGTCTGTGCTGAATATAAAGCCTACATATATACCCACGTCCTCTCAGTCACGCTCACACCTTCACTCAAAGTTGTTAAATTAATGGCAAATTGTAATCAGAGGTACATTTGGTGAATACAGTATTGACTATATTTAGAATCTCGATATCCCAATTATGAATATTATGAAATTTCTCGATCAAATTTTCTCTTGGAAGCAGAGTAAAAGAACATTCGGAAGAAAACAACAGAGCAACCACAATAGATCGAATCCCTATCTCCAATTACATATTTGTAAAAGAAAAGTAAAGCAGATATATGAGAAAAAGCAGCAAGTAAGCAAGCGCCTAAAGTTTATGTTTGCCCAGTATACTATTATATTCATATAAATTAAGTCATCAAAAATCACTCATATAAAAATATGAGATAAATAGGATTTTAAAACGTCAATGAAACGCTCATTGAATCTTATTCATAATTCAGAACTGACTGGTATGTGGGTGGTGTAAGACAAAACATTAAATTTGATTTTTTTTTCAAAGGAAGCTATGCCATCGAATTCTCCACACATTTATGTTTATCTTAATACGAAATAACAGAGATGAATGTTTTCATAGATTGCATATTATGTTGATATGAATTCGATCTACGTAGTTCTTATAGATTATTGTTCTTCGTACAAACAACACTATAAAACTAGACAGTTGAAACAAAAAACATTACTATTTCGAAAAAAAAAATTTTTTTTTTGAATTGTCGTAACACATCAGACAGATCATGGTCATTGAATAAAACAAAATTAGATTGTGATAACACGCTTACAAATTACAAAAAAATGACATTGTAGATTCATGTTTGTACATTGGAATAAAAAAAAGTTAAATGGGACGCAGACACAATTCATGTAATCATATTGTATGACCTATAAAAATAGTCTGCTCACTTCTATTGTTTTAACTTAAATTAAGTCTAAATTAGTGGAAAATTGAACGGTACACTTTCAAAAAAAAATTCAAAGTTCTAAAATTGATCTGTGTTGAGATATTTGAAAAATAATAAGTGTTATACAATATTTTCAAATATACACTATCTATCTCGTTTTTGAGGTAAAAAATTACAAAATTTTCTGAAGTTCATCTCAAAAATGTCAAAGTTTGAGAATTTTCAAGCTTCTTATTTGTTTGTCTATCCGCAATAATTCGTAGTTTGATGAAAAAATAAGTCTTTCGTAATCAATATCGGATATCACCTAAAGTAACTTTGATGACAACACGTTGCATAAATATTGAAGCTGCTAAACACATAATGTACCAATGCTTTCTTCAAGTGATGACGAAAATAATTGGTCCATATAAAATTTCAGTGAGATCAATTTTCAAAGTTCTTGTAAAACTCAATCTCCTTATAAAAACAATTTTGCTGATTCTGTATTCAATTTATAAATCATTCGATCAATATTCTGTTTCGATATGTTTGTGAAGATAGCAAATATTTTTTAAAAAGCTATATTAGACTCATATATAAAGTTGTTTAGCCATTTTTTTCTATCATGGACACTTTTTCGATGATCATCATGTATCTTCGATTCTTGAGAACACTATTTCTAATGATTATTTGCATACCATATGTAGTACCATCTTACGAATGTCATCAACGATTGACTCCATGTGGTTGTGGTTTAAAAAATGTTGAGATGAATGCACGCATTGTCAATGGTGAGAATGCAATTCCCTACAGTTGGTCGATGATTGTATCACTCAGATACGATTGTCTTGATGACGGAAACATTTCGACTCATTGTTGTGGTGGTACTATTCTAAACGATTCGTATATCCTTACAGCTGCACATTGTGTCGAAACGATAGATGCACTGAGTCTCTCAGCAGGAAACGTCACGATTGCTGCTGGTATTTATAGGCGATCTCAACAATGTCAAACAATTAGAAAGGTTGATCAATTGATTATTCATCCTAATTGGACAAGATACACGAATGGACTCAGACACGATATTGCTATACTTCACTTAACCGAACCACTTGACCTTGACACGAATTTATTAATTACTCGAACATGTTTGCCATCTCGATTGAATTCTACGAATGATATCACAAACTATCCCCCATCTAATATTTCTCTAGTTGTGATTGGATGGGGTTTTCTCGGATGTTTCAATTGTACAACGCCTGACATAATACAACAGGCAACTCTTTTATCAATGCATTACAATCATTCAACCTGTGCCACATCAATCAATCACATTAAGACGCAATTCTGTGCAGGAGTGTACGAAGGTGGCAAAGGTAATTTGTTTCATTTTATTTTCGACAATGTTTATATTATCAATCATTTTTTTGCTTTTGTTTAAGGTCCATGCATTGGTAAGTCTACAGAAAGTGTCAAGTTTTTTCTTTCTCTGTACTTTATAGGTGATTCTGGTGGTCCAATCCTTCGATGGATTGGCAACCGTTGGGAACAAGTTGGCATTGTTTCGTATGCAATGTATGGATGCGCATTAGCTAATTATTCAACTGTTTTTACACGAATTGCTGCTTACAATGATTGGATTGAGTCAATTTTGACTGGTTATAGTACATCAACAATTACAACGATTGACTCAACTATTACGAGTACAACAACAGATGCAACACCTTCCACTACTTATCACTGTGAGAAACAAAATGTTTCATGTGGTTGTAGTCTTATGGATGTTTCATTTCCTCAATCAAGAATTATTGGTGGTCATGAAGCAAAAATGTTTAGTTGGTCGATGGTGGTTTCCTTATTTTCGCGAAGTAGTAATGAACATTTTTGTGGTGGATCCGTACTCAATAATTACTACATTTTAACATCTGCGCGATGTGTAGAAAATCAACCCGTATCGGACATGTTGGTTTTAGCGGCTATACATAATAGATCGGATATGACTTGGCCACACAATCGTCGTGGAATTGAACATATTTACTTTCATCCTAACTATACAAGTTCATTTGGTGGATATTTAAATGATATTGCAATTTTACGTTTATCTTATTCGCTGAATTTGGAAACAAATTTATTCATTACTCGAACATGTTTACCTCAAATTAATTCAACTGATGATTTTACAAATTATCCTCCAACTGATATAAAACTAGCTGTGATTGGATGGGGCAGAATACATTCGAATGCTTCTAATTTGGCCAATAATCTACAACAAGCACAAATCTATTCGTTTGATAACAATGATCCAACATGTTATTTACAAATAATCGATCCCAAAAAACAGTTTTGCGCTGGAATTGCTGACGGTATCCGAGGTTTGTTCTATTGATATCGTCTCTAGCTTTAGAATTCATCATATTATGTTTTTCTCTAGATGTATGTACAGGTATTATAAAAATGAATTTTTATAAATAAAACAATCATTCTGACTTGATTCCAACTAGGCGATATGGGTGGACCGATATTTCAATGGATGTCAAATCATTGGGAGCAGGTACATATAATAACGATAATAGTGAATAAAAAAAACTAATTCATATTTTAGTTTATTCTTAACAAAAGTCACATTGATCGATTTATATTGATTTTTTAGCAAGTCAGACCTGTCATCATTAGGAGAGCAGTAAAATAGACCTATTTTCTATAAAAAAGAAGCAATATTTCGAAATGCTTATCACAACATGATCTGTAGGGCAGGATGGTGAACAATTCACTTTGTTCGCTATAAACTTCAATGGTTATTAACAATCGTATTTCACAAAACATCAATTATTTAATATTGAGGAATGAAACTAAAACAATGATACTTATGTAATTTTTTTTTTTACTAATTGCAAAAATTTAGTTTGATGAATTCAAGGTTTCCTTAGTTTGATTGACCTAGTTGAAATATGTTCAGATTTCCAAAAAAAAAGTAAATTTTTCCATCCAGAGAAATTTTCTTGCTCTGTAAGAATTGCCATCGAAATTGCTAAGAAATTCACTTCAGCTAGTTTTATATTTCTAGAAGATTTTATGTAAAGTGTTATATACTCGAATATTTTGTACCGATTGCTTTTGATAGTAATTAAGGTGATTTGTGAACTTCCTAGTTTGTCTTGTATTTCTATGAAAGTGATTTCTAAAATTTTATAATTTATGAGGGAAATTTACTTTTTTTTCAAATCTGAACGTTTCTGAGCTAGTAAGATTTAAAGTGTTTTAAAAACGTCTTTATTGGAAGAAATAGGGATTTTGAGTAATAAAATGTTGAAGATCTAAGTCGTTCTTTAGGAATATTTCTCGAAGAGGATAATCAATTTTCGATCAAGACTTTGTTTATTCGATTGGTCATATGTTGTGATTAACAAACCTACCATAGTTTCATTGTGAAAATATTGGGCTTTTACTGAATTCTTTTACAAGAAGCTGTGATCCTTGTCGGAGTACTGGAAAAACTGAATTTCGAGTTTTAATCTAAAACTTTGCACAAATAAACTTCATTTCATACGATAACTATATAGTATGACTTTTTCTTCTCTTCATGTCACAAAAAGGAGTTGTAAATATAATTTAAACATTCACAATGAACTAATCTTATGTAGAAATTAATTTGTGATAACTTTCAAGTTGAAACTCGAAATTCAATTTTTTCTGATACTTTGAGAAGGATCATGGTATTTTGTTGAAGAATTCAATAAAAATCCACTATCTTAACAAAAAGGTATCCAGAAGCGAAACAATACTCGACTTTTTAATCACTCAATACGAATAATCGAGTAAACAAAGTCTAGATCCAAAATTAATTTTTCGCTTCGAAAAAAGATTTCTAAAGAACAACTTAAATTTTTAACTACTTCCACCTAACTAGCATGCAATAAGCTAAGCAGAAATATGTTACCAAAATGTAGTTAGATACTAATGGATCTATTCATGTAGATTTTCCATAATAAGAAAAAATTCTCAAATGAAGAAACCGTGTTCTTTTTCTCTACTTACAATTGATTATTTTAGTGATTATCAGGAAAAATATCGTTTATATATATGTACTAATCTTTCATTTTCATTTCTTGCTATTGAAATATTGGGTGAGGCAAAATGATTACACATCATCGGATATTTTGAAAATATCTCAACACAAACAAATCCTATCACGTTGAAGTTCTCTTTTACCATATACGATCTGTAATTCTCTACAAGTATGGCTTCATTATTTTGAGAGAAACAAAAATGAAAATAACATAAAAAAGAAACTCTTCTTTTTTTTTTAACAAATTTTGCATAATATCATGATAAACTTTACAAAAAAGTTCAAATCTAATAATATAAAAATAGTCAAATGAATTTTTGATATGCTTCATTTATTTATTTCTTCAAATATTCTCGTGTTTTGATCTTTTGACAACCTATTTTCGAATTGACATGATCTTATGTAGACTAATCTAGTGAAATTTGAGCCAGATGAATTAGAAGACTATCGATCTTTAGGTATGGTACTTGAAATTTTTCGAGTTTCATCCCCATAACTCAAAGGACGTTTTCATACAAAAATATTAGAGAATTCCATGACAAATGTTTAAAAAAATGATATAAAAATTTTTAATCTATTGATAGTAAGCTTATATACAAAATGATAAATGTTATTTTCATTCTTGTTTCTCTCAGAATAATGTGAAATTTGACCATCACATAGCATTTGAATTTTAGACTCGCAAGAAAATCATGAAAACCATTCAATCAATTTTTTATCGTCATTCTTATAGAGAATTTCACAGTGCATCTTTTGAAAAAGATTTCAACGTTATAAGATTTCTCTGTGTTAAAATATTTGCAAAATATCCGACGTTGGAATTATTTTGTTTTACCTGTTGGTTTATGTCTTTTGTGTAAACACAGTTGTGAATGAGTGTTGAAGTATATAATGCAATAATGTGTATCCTTTCCTCACCCTACCCCATAGATCATAATCAATACAGTGCGTGTCGATCTGGTACAGAATATGTTCATGTACATCCTCTATTGCATTCGAATCTTATAGTTCTGCTCGAAAATGATAAAATACAAGAATTGCTATGAATCTATTCTCATGTTCTTTTTCTTATTCACTTCTAAATTGATAGGAAACATCCACTGAAGCTGCAAATTTTCTGACACTACAGTCAGCTAAAAAGCAAATAGAACAGATTTTCCAAAAAAAAAAATTAAAAGTTTTTCCTTGGCCATAGTTTGAAATTCGAGTATTGTAATATACATTTCTAACTTTTCTCAAAAGAAAACCCCTATTATAAAAGAGGAAGGTGATATAACGTAGAGGATTACCATTTTTTGCATTGGACTCATGCACTATTTCCTCAGGTATGATAAATATGTTTCTGTTGAGTTTTTTTCGATTAGTTTTAATTTAGACGTACATCTATAGATTTTTTTAATTATTTTTGAAAATTTTCATCCAGGTGGATACACAAAAGCTGTAATTGATAAAATGATTTTTAGTCAAAAACGAAAGACTTTCCAAGGTTCTTGCCTTTAATTTAAAGAACGATATCTACAAATTTATATCTTATACATACACAAAACGTTTCAGCTCTGTTGGATACATCTAGTTGAAGAATATGATGCATATTACTACTCGTATATCTTGTAGACAGAAGCATCTGGTAATTCTCAATCTAGTATAACTTCTTCTCTACTACTTAAATCTACCAGTATTGAAAATTTTAATTTTCTGATTAGTCATTCTTCAAAAACTTCAGAAAGAAAAGAGATATTTTGAAGTAAAACTTTGTCTACATTCAAAATCACTCTTCAAAAAAAGAATTATCTAATTTTAAATGAAATAAATTATTATAAAGGTTATTCTGTCGCAATCTAACTCAACTGTGTCATTACAAATAAGAACATCCAATTAAAAATACAAACGGATTCGAACGAAAAGAGCCGACCAGAAAGAAAAACAAACGAGTCTCATGAGTATCGAAAGATGAGAAGCATATTTTTCCTTTTTGTCTGATAGATTTCTCTTATTTTCGTATCCATTTTGCTTGGTCGGAATCATCTAAGATCACTATGATTCTAAACGAGAGTTTCGAAAAGTTTAGTATTCATTTTGACAGTGTTTGAGTTTTTCTTCGATTTTCCTTAAAATTTTTCAAAATAATTCGATTTTATACGTTTTCAAATATTTTAGTCCATTTCTAGATGGTGTTTAGGATTTCTGAAAATTTAAAAAGTTTTGCTTCTTAACCAAATATTTCAGAAAATATTTTCAAATGCTTTTCTATATATGGTAATTGCAAAAACGTACAAAGTCTGATTGTCACCGTGACGAATGTGTCATGACAAATCTCAAATACCTAGATACAATTACTAACGCTGTAAAACTAACTCACTCTAATATTTTTATCGTATGTCATTAAGGTGGGTATTACAAGTGCTACTCACTGTGGGAACAATTCTTTCCCTAGCATCTATACACGACTGGCTAGCTATTATGATTGGATAGCATCTGTTATAAATACTGACGATACAACTTCAACTACTACGTCCACATCTATAAGTGTTACTTCAGCCAATCCCATACATACGTATTTTTGCAACAAGAACATGAAAGATTGTGGTTGTGGCTATCAAAACGTTCAACTTGCTGCGTCAAGAATTGTTGGCGGCAACGAAGCTATTCCATATAGTTGGTCAATGATTGTATCGATCCGATTCAATTGTAATCTCGATGGAAATGTTAAAGCGCATTGTTGTGGTGGTACTATTCTAAACGAATATTATATTCTTACAGCTGCTCATTGCGTTGAACAAATAGATCAGACATCTTTACTATCGCATAATATTACCATTGCTGCTGGAATTCACAATCTAACTGAAACCTATCAAACAATTCGACGTGTCGATCAGATTTTCATTCATTCTGAATATGCAGGAATGCTACAACTATATAAAAATGATATTGCTATTCTTCATTTAGCTGAACCGCTTGATCTTGATGCAAATCCATTTCTTACTCGAACTTGTCTTCCGTCTCGAATCAATTCAACAGAAGATTTCATCGAATATCCATCAAATGGAACCATGTTGGTTGCTATAGGTTGGGGTATTACAAATCAGCTGGAAAACATGGAACCTCAGGCACTACGACAATTGAGTATCTATGCAATTCATCACAATGATTCGACATGTGCAAGATCTATCGGACATGTTAGTGTACAATTTTGTGGAGGATTGTACGAAGGTGGTAAAGGTAAGAATTGTCTTATAATTATTTCAATGACAATTTTAACTATTTTTGTTTTGTTTTTTATATAGGAATATGTTATGGTATGTCATTGTGTTTCAATAAAGAGTGAATTGATTTACTGATATCTTTCATTATATTTCCTTCTATAGGTGATACTGGTGGTCNTTTGTCACTAATATTCAGTATAAAAACTGACTATATATTTCAGCAAAATTTTTAATGTAGAAAAAGACTGAAAGTTGAAGAGCCTTCTACATTGTAGTGATATCGTCAAAAAACAAAAATTTTCTTAAAAAGGTAGAATTCTGTGAGATGTACACAATATTCTCTTGTTTTAAGGTGTTCAAAATAAAAATAAATTATATAAACATATTACTTTATCTTACTAATCAAATATGTTTAAATGAATTTATTTCCACATATTTAAAATTATTCCTTTAAAGGCCGATAACAATTGCTGATATTTAGAAAAGTGCAAATATCTCAATTATATTTCGTTGTACTTTAATGAAAAGAAAAATATTTGAATTCAATCCATCAGTATTTTGAGATCTTATTGAAAAACGGTGATACATTCGACAAAGATAGAAAAGATTATATTTTTATTGTCAAATCAATCAGAAATTTAAATGTTCAGAATATTTAACAATTGTTTAATTATTAAAAATTTGCTATCTTATATCTTTGTATATTAATATGAATTTTTAAAAGATTCTGTTTTGAAAATTGATATTATAAAATTATGATTTGAATTCTTCTGAGTTTGTATAAAATATAATTTGAATCAAATAATTAATAATGTAACATCGAAATCTTGAAAATAATTAAATAAATATAGACTTTTCTGTTTTCATTCATCTCAAGAATTTCGTAGAAGAAGATTATTGAAAAATTTCGTGTGAAATTCATTCGTTAAATAGAGCCATGAATTGGATCTTTGATCTATTTTTTTAGGAAAATACTTCAAGGATATGATAATTGGATAAAATTTTTAAAAAGACATTAATGACACAAAAAAATGAAAAATATGATATATTTTGAGTGATGAGAAATTCTTGATAGAATAAACTTTGTTTTTAACCAGCACATCTGGAATGAAACAGTGTCTTATTCATAGAAATTCATGATGAGTAAAACACATTTTAAAATTTCATAGGATATAATTTGACATTAAAATGTTACGAGGTAAAATTAAACTATTATTAAATAAATAAACAAAAATAATACCTCATTGATCTTACATTGTTTTTATCATATAAGCATCTCATCAATAAAAGGAAAACACAAGACTATTACACTCACATCATGTTCAAAATTTAAAGCAGAAAAGGTGAAGAATAAAATTTCGCATTAAATTTTATCAAGGAAAAGATTTCATTTTGAAAAAATACCTTATGTATAAATTAGAAATTGAAATTGAAGAATTTCAAATTTATTTAATTTGAAATAAATCGAATATTTTCATTTTCAGAAAAACTCAAAAATGAAATCTGAAAAAAATCGGTGAAGCTGTAATATTCGAATGGAAAATTTAATTGAAAATTTGAATCTGAAATTCCTCCCTATTCGAAAAGACAATATGCGAATATTTTTACTAGAAATGAGAAAATTCTTTATTTGAGAAATATTTTTCAAAAATATTTTGCTCTTAACCTAAAAAGAAGCGAAATTCTTGTTTAAAGAATAAAAAGAGCTATTTCGTCTGTAAACTATGAAGTAAGACATTTTTGTAATTAAAGCGAAATGATTTATTGAATTTCTACTTCAGAATGATAAAGATGCGGATGATTCAAGAGTCTCAGTTATGAAAATGATTCTTTTTTCTAGACGTTTAGATTTGAATTAAGCAAAAGTCAATATATTTGAATCCTCAGATGGATTTATTTTCTTTTTTAATTTAGGAAAAAACTTTATTTCATTCATAAACCTTCATGACTGTTTATAGTAAAGTTCAATTTTAAATCTCGAAAACTGCCTTTTGTATGATATAAGAAAACTTTATATCAACGAAAAATCATCACTTTTTTGAATCACATACTAAATGAAATCTTCTTTCTGAAAAAATTCCCGTTGACGAGATGTCAACAGAAGAATTATGAATAAAACTTTATCTTTAAATAGAATCTGAATTTGATAATATTCAATTGGATAATAAATTTTTCCTTACGCATTATTTTTTATTCGGTCAGATAGTAAAAATTTAAGTTTAGTTAACCTAAATCGGAATTTTTTTTTGTTATTTGAACTTGTTTTTACTTTTGAAAGAATTGTTAGGATTATCGAAAATTTCTTATTTCTTTTTATAGAAATTAAAAATTATTTTTCAATGTCAAAATGAAATTGAGAACAGGGAGAAGTTCTGATCAACTAAATAACTTATATTGTGAAAATCTCTTGCTTTGAAATATTAAAAACACATGAAAATATAGATCATATCTTTATTTCTCCGTTTTAATCTAAAAATTTTTATTTTTTATTTCCGAATAACAAATTCAAATGATTTAAAAGTCTTCTGGAATAAAGTTCCGATTATTAGCATTATTAAGAATAACTTGTTGCTTTTCGCAGAGCTTCATAATATTTATATTTGATACAAATCTAAGATTAAAATTATTTAAAATTTTTTCTGAAAGCAACGAGAAATAATTTTTTCTAGTACTTTGGTGGTACTTATCTTTGAATTAACTATGCTAAACTAGCACTGAAGTAATGTGTACAAAAAAAAAATTTCTCTGATTTCTTCTGACGAAATACAGATATTTAATAGAGAGATCAATTGGAAAAACGACTTACTTGGTTGACTTTTAGCGGGTCATCCAAATGCTGTGCTCCTTGATCACCTATTTGATTGTTCCACCAATACAAGTCTTTTAGTGTTTATAATGAAAGAGGGAAAGATCGCTCGTATTGTAGGACAATGCTATTTAACATCTGTCAGTATATGATGACTAAAATATTTTACAATTTACAGTTTTTGAAAGATATTTTGTTGCTGGTGACTAGGAAACGACAGCAGGCATTTTGCTTCTCGACAATAAGTTCATAGAATCGTTTGATCTTAATGTTTTTGAAACTTTTTATAGAACTCTATTGAAAACTCTGTTCATATCTACAATTCTTTTTCTGGTTTAATTCAAGCCAAATTGCAAATCAATGATAAGTATTTAACTTAATTAATTTCCTTCGTGTTTGATGTCAATTGGATGATTCTCAGTATTGGATTGAAATTTAATTACGAAAAGAAAATTTTAAGATTTGTTCATTAATACAAGTTCATCTTGATCCGTTGGTATTGGAGATAAATCATTTTATTTTTTAAGGAAAAGTAGCAAATTAAGTAAAACAATATTTTCCAGAAACATTTAGAAAGATACATGCAGAAAAGCATTATTAGTTTTATTCGCAATTTTTTCACCAAATTCATTATGCTTTATTAAGTAATAATCTTAAGATTACACGAATAATCTTCTAAATTTATAAAAAAAAAATAAACCTAAGTTGAAACAGTTTATATAAAGCATTGAATGCTTTTACTAATTGATAGTATATTGAGGACTGTATAGAAATATATTCAAATATCATTGTTAATGCGACTGACAGATAATGATATCAAAGTTTTACATGTTTCTCTGCTTGACTGTATCTCATCTTGCATAATAATGTATGATGAACAACATCTATTCCAATTAAATCCGTTCACATTTTCAAATAACTCAAAATAAGAATAAAGAATTATAAAGATGTGCTCGATACAATTTGATAATATATAAAGTGACATAACACTCGAATGAATTGTAATGTTTTCCCAATTTAGACAATCGAATATTGCTTTTGCCGATAAGATTTACTAATTACTTAGAATTTTATTAGAATCTTAATAATCTGATGATATTAACTTTGAAAAAGATTGAACTGAAATAAAATATTCATGGATGATAATTTACATAGTCTCAAATTTTAATTAACATTCAATTCTAGATAATAAATCAATAATCATGATAAGAAAATAAAAGTACACAAAAACTTGTTAAAAAGTCCTTTATGATTGAATCTTATTAAAATATTTTTTTAAAAGATTCTGAAAAAAGATCATCCTAAGCTATGACATTTATTAACAGATTTTTCACACTAATTAATCTTTTTAATTGTCTTAGTTTGAATTTTTTTAAAATAATTATTTAAGAAAAAAATCTCTCACCACTAAACTAATTCTTTAAAATTGAGCACTTTCTCAAATTCCTTGAATGTGTTTTTTTTAATTCTAGATGAAGCATTTTAAAACAAGACAAAGAAATCTCAAGTTTACAAACTGTTTGTTTATGTTATTATCAAGAAAATTTAATAAGTGAAGAGCAATCAACATAGGAATTTTATTCTGAAGTTTCTTTGTATATTTTCTAATAATAAAGATATTTTCAGAGTTTTATTATCATAAGTTGAATTATTGTGTAACGCAATTTGAAAAGCGCATTAAAATGCAAAGAGATAATTAGAAATTATCGTTTCACTCTTCTCATACAAGTGATTTCAAAAACGAATAATTCTAGTTGTAAAAACCTAATTTTGCAATGAAATATTTCAATTTTACTTGAGGGTGTGGGTGGAGGGAAACAAGAGATCCAACGGTACACTCACACCCTCACACCCATACCCACACCCCGCTTTCTATATATCAGACGATTTCCCAATAGGATATATGAAACAGAATAGATTACAGAATACCCTCTATAGTAATCGAACTGTTTTTGTCTATTGATTGCTTTAGTATGTAGCTTCATAATAATATGGCACCAGGGAAAGTCGTCAAATGTTAGGTCAATTAGGTTAAGCCTAGTACATTATAGGTAATTGCTCAAGCTGATTCCAAATACCGACATGATTTTTTTTCTGCTATACAATAAAGAGGGTAGCTTTTTCGAAAACGACTATTCTACACTACAACATGTTTTTTATTATCTGCCTAATTTGTAAAATGCCTTAAGTTGCATATAAGAATGTACTATATAAAACAAGTCGAATCATTACAGAGTCGACTAGAAGAGTAACAAACATCAAACGGAAAACAAATGTGTTCAACAGCGGTTTCTTCCATCAATTTCTATTTATACATAATCGTTTCGATTGAAGCTAGGTTGAAACTAATAACTCTTCTAGTAATAGACATTTCTGTAAATGAGTTCTATTTATACTATTCAAATCTCAACAACAAGAGAACATTACTTCTTTTTCAAGTGCTGAGAAATATAAAAATTGGCACTAGAGAAAAATTTTAATTCTCGAGACCATGACTTTTCTGAAGAACTTCTGTTCTCTAATGTATTGTTGATGTTAAGAGTAGTACTACAATAATATAGAATTTAGCAAAAGATTTTTTCGAGTTCTTGCTAACGAAAGTTTCATAGGTGATCTACAAGGCAACGCGCCATCTAGCTAACAATTTATGAAAAATTTCACTGTACGTAGAAAGATGCCGTAATATAAGTGTCTTTGCACAGGTAACTATTATTTCACAAATACGTTGTACAATTGTTAATTACATATTTTCAACTAATTTATAAAGTTTTTTTATTATTGTCACCTTGATTTCTAACCAATGATGAATAGCTGATGCAATTCATTGCATTACACTAGATTCACGTTCAGCTTCAAAAATTTCGTATTCATTATATATTAGTTATTTGAGAAAGGTATAGCACACATTAACCACTAAATACAAAATTGTGGTGTCGTCGAGCAGCTATCCGATTTCTAACCACGAATTTCATTAAGATGATCAAAGTATGGTTCGACAAAAGTCAAAAAAAGGTAAGTTCTGTGAGCTTTAATAGCTCTTTTGATTGAGCCTTCATTAAAACCAAATATCAATGCTTGTTAGTCAACTTTTTTTTAGTTTCGAGGTTCTAATCTAGAAAAAAAATATTTTAAATTATTTTTGTATTACTTATTAAAGAGTTTTTAAAAGTTAATTTATTATTTTTTTCAACTGATGATTGATACTTTGATGAAGGTCTCTCTCCCTTGATGAATATTCTAAAGATATAATTTGTAAGATAGTTCGCTTAGGATCATACAATATTCAACGTTAACCTTCAGTTTTAGTTAACAAGTTTTTTTCTGATAATTCTGACTTTAATCTCAGCAAACTTTAGTCATAATAGCGAGGAAATTTTCCATAATAAGTCACTTTCTGCAATGTACAATTCATTTAAGTGTTAGTGAATTTCAATTTCTCCTACAGTTGTTACGAGAAAATTTTACAAATGTTTTGTTTTTTGGATAAATTGCATATCAAGCCCATTCTATGTTCAATCTTCTACTTATCAATGTTTATTTCAGTTTATTTTTAAAGCTATATTCCTTATCTCCACCGTGAACGTTTGTTCTCAGATTAAAAAAAAACAATGCGTATTATGCAATCATTTCTATCTACTTGTTATGATTGATATGTTTCTTGCATGCATTTAATGTGTTACATATATAATAACCTCATAGCTGTCTATACACTAAGTAGTTTTTAAGCGCGTATCATCAATACATCTTCGGATATAATAATAATATTCGTGCAATTCAAAACATTTTTTTGATATCGGAACAACAAAGTTATTTTATGATCACACAAATAACGATAAATGGATCATACAATGTATTCTAGTCATAGAAGTAGCTAAGTTAAAGCCAACAATATACTTATGAATTTAAATAATTACTTTCTGAATATTTTTATCGTATTTGTTTTGATTGCCAGACAATAGATGATATGTCTTTTTTTCTTTATGTCTGATTTCTTATTTATTTGGAATATCTAAGAGTTCGATTTGATTCCTGTCTGTTATGTTAGCCCAGTGCTGTAGCATCTCTTTATGCAATTTTAGATATTTGTATCTCATGGTATTGTATCATGTTCTTGATGATTTTTTATTATATATGTATGTGACGAAAATGAGACAGAGAGATTATATCATTTCGTAATCAAGACGCGGCGTATTATATTATGATCAACAAAAACAAACTGAAAGAATAACATTATCGTCGCCCTCGGCAAAGATGTTCACTATAGTATTCCATCATTTAAGTTGTCTCTACTTGATATAAAACTGTGGCTTCTATACAATAGAAAGAACGAGTGAAATGAAAGACCGAGCGAACAGGTAGCTATTTTTGCTAATGAGGTCAACGCGTCGATTCGAATAGTGACCGAACGCTCTCACATCAATGAACCAAGAAAAAATGAAATGATGCTGTCCTCTGATTATTGGTGTAATATAGGTTCGACAAACACTTTTATGGGTTTTAGTTGATACCTTTTCTTTTCGATTGGAGTGTTTTTTGTGCTTAATTATTAAGCAAGACGTGTGACTATGATTTTTTTAATGATAAGCGAAAAATAACGAAAGATATAAGAGAAAAGTGATTTATAAATTAGAAAGAAAAAAAGTTTAACACAAAAATACTTTTTTTCTTTATCACTGAAGCAAGATCAATTTATCATAGTAAATGATTTGTAAAATTTCTCATTTGAATAGAATGTAATATAAAAATTGCGTTTGACTTCAAATGACTTAATGCTTTTTATTGAAATACAAAAAAACATAAAGTCAAACCAAAATTTTTTTAAAAGATTAATTTCAATGATTTTTTAGATTTATAATGGTAATAAACAAGAAACATCCTTTACTATGTTTAAAATCATCAGCTGCCATATATCTTGATAGTTTGAAAAGAAGTCATTCAAGACATCTGTACTTTATCACGGTTAATATCTCATCATTATTTTATTAGTATTATAATCTGATTATTTTGCTCACGCATATGATCCATATCATTTACACTGTTTCTGTTATAATAACATATCATCCGGAACGGTTCGTATGTGTAGTGTCTCTCATTATGATTATACATAATTCTTTAGGAACAAAATATTAATGAATTTTCAATTCATTTAATAGCGCTTATTGCTTTACATCTTCATGTGCTTAAAGTTTTATTGATTCGAGGAAAAGCAAAGTCGAAGTATTACATATTTATTATGGTCCGAAAAAGAAAGTCAGTATTTTGTATATAACTAACAATTGATCTTGTATTCAATCAACTAACCAAATGCATTGTACGTCATAGAATACAAGAGATGTAGTTCTGATGATACATTAATGTAATATTTTCTATATAATTACTCTTCATACATAGTTCACTATCTAACAATTTATTTATTTGCTTTTCATTGAACATCACAAATTTTCCCCACAATGCATGAAAATAAATGGAAAAACAAACTTTATGTTATGTTCATAATAGAAATCAATGCGTAAGTAGACGTGTTACAAAAACAAAAAAGACTTGTCATTTTGACACCAATGCCAATGAATACCTTACTGACTAATCAATGGTAAAAGATGACAGTTATTAAATCTATAGAAGTTCTTCTGTTTCTGTAATGTTTGATTGTTTTTATTAAGATCTTGAAAGTATTTCTTTATAATCATATTTATGTATTTCAGATGTGCTATTGATTTTCTGCACATTCAGCAAAGTTGTAAGTTTTATAATCGACATAGTGTTAATTTGATATTAAAAAAAAGAACGTATCTATTTGTAATTGTGTTGTAATAAACTATTGAAACAGCGTACATATGACGAACGAAATTAGACCAAGCGTACAAAGGGAAGAGAAAGAAGAGAAGGAATTAAGCGAATTAAAAGTTAATAAAGAAAAGAACGAGAAGAAGATCGGTATATTAAAACATAATCAAGAGAAAGACGAAAAGAAAATCAGTACATTAAAGGACGATCAAGAAAAAGTTGAGAACAAATTAAGTAAATTAGACGATGATGATGAATATGATTATATTACAATACCACCAGATGGAGGTTTTGGTTGGGTTGTTCTTGTGGCATGCTTTGTAAGTTATCATACCGATTTATAAATAATTTTCCTATTATATTTTCTTTTGTTAAGATTATTAATGTGATTGTCGATGGTTTTCTTAATGCATTTGGTGTCATGTCGAGCGATATTCGAACTCATTTTAAATGTAGTGAATTTGAGGTAACACTCGTTATTTCATTAGCTTGTGGTTTTTATATGCTTAGCGGTAATTAAAGTTTTTATTGCTTTTCTTTTGTATATTTTTAATAAATTATTTAAATTCTTTGTTTGCTTTACGTATAGCTCCATTAGCTTCTGCTCTATGTAATAAATGGGGTTGCCGTCGTACTGGTATTATTGGAAGTGTAATGGCTGCATTATCGATTGGATTATCTACGTATTCACCAAATATTGCAACAATGTGGTTATTGTTCGGTGTCATTGGTGGTATTGGTTTAGGCTTCGTTTATTTACCAAGTATTGTCATGGTTGGATATTATTTTGAAGAAAAACGTGTTATTGCAACAGGTAACATGAAAGTATTCTTTTCTTGATAGAATTGATAATAAATTTAATGTTATAGGTATTGTCACGGCTGGTACGGGAGTTGGTACGATTATATATGGACCTCTCTCACATTTCTTATTTAATACATTTGGTTGGAAATATGCCTTAATCATGTTATCGGCTATAATTCTTTGCTGTGCTATATGCTGCATATTCATGCGGCCTTTAGAACCAATACGAAAACGACGTGTTTTAGGAGTATCTGAAAAGTAAGTTCTATAGTTTTTAGAAGAGTCTTTTTTACAGGTATTTGCTTTTCTTAAACGAATTGATTGTAGAACTCTAAGTGATTTATGCATAATATTCAACAACTCTTTATTTATCTTTCATTTTAATTGTAATTAGTTGTTTTTCATTCGACTTGAAATACGCTTAAGTCTTTTATTTATGTGAAATATGTCGTGTTTGACAAAAGCTTTAGAGAAATGCTACAGAAAGAAGATACTGTCTCTAGATTTTCAAGTTTTTCTTTTTATTAGAGACTAAGTTCTTGTTCAACATCAAGTTCCATTTGAAAATGTCTCTTGACTCTTAACAATCGATTATAATATTGCTTTTTATAATGAAAATTTATTTTATTTTTTTCTTTCAATAGAATTGATGACACTATACACAAAGTCATGGTTAGTTTTGCATCTTATTTTAAATTTCTATTAATTTTCTATTAATATAGACGCCAGCATCTTCAATCAAAGGAGCCAAAGTTGCCCCAACAATTGTTATAATACCATCTCAACAAGACGAAAAACTAAGCTTACCTGATGTAGCATTTGAAGATGAAAATAAGATACGATGTCGAACGGAATCGGGTGTATCAACTAAATCAAGACACAGTATTAGAGCTGAAGACGCTGTTCGTCCGTAAGAAAGTTCTATTTGGAAATTTGTTTTTGCTTGATATGTTTTTGTTTTTCGAATAGTTTATATAAAGAAGACGTACTTTATCCAGGTGACACAAGAGAGTTACCTGAATTTCAATCTCAACCTGATATACCTACATATGTTCAACAAACAACAAAAGTTCCTGAAGCAGTTAAAGAAAGTAAAATGAAAGCATTTTGGGATATATTTCTTGCTATGACAAATTTTCATCTATTACGTGATAAAAAGATGATAATTATTTGTGTGGTAAATCATATTAATAAAATATTTTGTTTTTTGATGAAACACGATTTAACAAAAGTGCTTAAGTATCAAGATTTCATAGAATAGATCTAAGACGTTGAGTAGGTATCTGATGATTTAACGGTTCCGATTACAGCGTGAGATTGTAACCAATTCACGTGACCGTTTACTAAAAATTTATCGTAAAATTTTTGTTGATTTTTACCATACTTAAAGAAAAATTTTCAATCATTTTTAATTACTGAATAAAAACTTATCCATTCGAGCGAGTTAAAGCTGAGATATTTCAATTTTTGTATATCATTATGTATAACATATTCCGTACAGAAACTACGTATGTATTTCTGAAGGACTAAGTAAAAGGTAGTGAAGAAACATGTTTCAATATCGATAGATATATACCGATGTTCATGTAATTGGGTACAGTAGCTTCATCGTGTTTCATATTTTAATTCTATAAGATATTTACTAACAGCTTTTTCTATATTATCATTCGTTTTTTTGAGGCTAATTTTATTTCAATGGCTGGCTATTATATACCTTTTGTATTTATTGTTCCTTATGTTAAATCAGAAAAGGGTATTGAGCCAAAAGATGCCGCTAAGCTAATATCACTTATCGGTAAATAGAATGGTGGATTTAAATCTTTATTCTTAAAAAATTCTTCATATCTAGGCGTCACTAATACAATTTCTCGATTCATATCTGGTTGGGTAGCAAAAATTCCTCATTTATCACCATTACTTATCAATAATATTGGTTTACTTGTTGGAGGTACACTGACATTATTTGCACCACTATGTCAAACATATTTTCAATATGGAGCTTACTCTTTATTATGGGGTGGTTTTGTTGGTAAGTTCTGTTGAAAATTTATTGCGAATGATTTATATGTTTTTTTTACTATTACTATTTAAGCATTTCATATTTCATTAAGTCCCATAATTGTTTGTCAAATTGTTGGTCTTGAACGTTACAGTAGTGCTTTAGGTTTATCTTTAATGTTTCGTGGTGTGTCAACATTACTTAGTCCACCTGTAAGTTTTGTTTTGGCAAATATTTCATTTTTTTTTGCGTGAAACTTTTATTTAGGTAATGGGTGCAATTCGTGATATAACAAAGAGCTATTATTTAGTATTTGCATTCAGTGGCCTTACTTTTATAATAAGTTCTCTAATGCATTTTGCTCTTATATGGATGGATCGTTCAAATAAAGTAGAAGCTGCTGATGAAAAAAATAAGTCTAAGGAATCTCAGGAAAAATCAGTCGCGTCTGATGTTTAATTTTAAATTCATTTATTGTGATACTTATTTTTTTAAAATTCACTGAATCTCATATTCAAATACGTCTTTTTTTAACACTGCATTTTAATTTCGCAATACTAACAGTCTATTTTTTTGTTCGAACAAACATGTAGTTTTAGTAGATATCTCTTATTAACGTTTTTTTTCAAATACATAGATCAGAAGTCCTGTCTCAGGCATTAAAGTTAAAAAGATATTATGTGAAAAACGATCGAACATCAACGTCGTTGTTTCAACTAAATCTTCTATTTTCATATGATGGATGAAAATAATCAATGCGGAATAAATATGAGGTGATAATGAAAATTTTAATTAGATTTATTCTAGTATGTGTTTCAGCAAGCCCAACATCCTTAGAGTGTGGGTGGGTGTGGGTGTGGGTGTCTTTTGTCTCTGTGCTAACACCCGCACCCACCCACCCCCACTCACACCCACACCCATAATTGGTTGCTAATGATGGGTCACGTACAATTCGATCAATTAGTTCACAATTTTGTTTTCGACCACGATACCATCGCTCCCAATTTTTCTCATAAAAGGTTGGCTGTAATGTTAAATCATGATTGCCTGCAATGAATATTTTTAATCGATATTGATTCAGAGATTTAAGAGTCATTATGAACTTTTCGATTTCATTTTGTTCACCAGATATCGAAAAATCGCCTGCATGAACGAGAATGTTACCAGGAGGAGGTGTAAATCCATATCGTGAAAGTGTGTCACTAATACAGACTATACGTGTCGTCTTAGGTATGATATTAGTCATGTTTGATAAAAATGAATTATGGTGAAAATGTCTAAGAGATCATTTTTCTACCATGGCAAAAGTTTCTTGTTTTTGCGTAGTTTTCATTGATGTGGTGCAACAGAGAGCAAGCAAATCATGAGAAAGAGAATGAGTTTTTTTTAGTACGCACACAGTTGAGTGTAATATTTTCTTTATTGTTGTTAGTACATCATTGTATTTACAAAAAAAACTTATGCATCGAGAGAGAAATCAAAAAAAGATCCAAGCAAACGCACTGTGTTTTGCCTCTCACAGTTCTGTCACATTTGTTTTTATTTCAAACGCAAACATCCGAAGCTGCAGAAGAACGCATGTTTTATAACAGGTTTAAATCCATGTTTATTTTTAATTGAAAACCTTAGATTGGATGTGGATGTAGAAATCTACCATGATGTCGACATTTCATCTCAGCAACGAGAATCATTAGATGGCAGTTATTTCGGTCCTGAGGATGAGTTAAAAACTCAAATAGTAGATAGAATCAGAGCAGTCATACGACCAGTTTCGACTATCGCTCGAAATAGTCTTCATCAGATATGTTTTGATTCTATCAATTATTACATATATATATACTTAATAAATCTCAAGAAAGTTTAATAAAATCTTAATATATGTGGCAGACGGGTTTAGGATTTAGTTGAGATTGGAATAGCTTTTTTATATTGAAAATAAAGTTTTTTTAGCTAAAATTAAATTAAAAAAAGAATAATTGAGAGTGTGGGTGTGCGTGAGTGGAGTGAGAAAAGGTGTAGAGCCACATTCACATTCACACACCCACACCTTCAGAGAAGAATCTCCATTTTTTGAATCGTGCATGAAACGATTCCACCACCAATCTGCATTTGGTGATTAAACGTAATTCATTTGCATCATTTGTAGATAATTGTTTATCATCTTTATCTAATTAACCAGGCATTTTCATATCATAACCAAGAGCTTCAAATTCAGCAGCAACATCCCTAAATCCTCGATCCACTATTTGAATATCATCATCTTGGCATAGAATTGATAAGTCTGTACAGGTGTGCAAGATTTCTTTTGTAATAGAAGAATCATTATTTTTCCCATAAAACGGACCTAATAAATCGACGACGTAACCATCAGGTAAAACTAATCTCATCATTTTAACAAGATGTCTTGATTTGTGTCCTGAATAACAATCTCGTTGTAATTTGTGATCATTTCATTTATGACAAAACAGGGTGTGGGTGTGGGGTGTCTGTATTGTTCTCGTTCTACACCCACGCCCACACCCCGAAATGGACAATAGTATACTAAAACAAAAATTTTAAGTTAGAGTACGGGTACGAGTGTGAATGTCAATCATCATGAATAGAGGACGAACGCCTCTACTCACTCACACTCTAAGAAGTGCAAGCCTTTTGACTTTTATCGACAACGTCTAAAAGTTATTTTATTCATCTATTAGATCAATGAATTATATCTTAAAATTCATAAACTATCTTATCTATTTCAGCTTCTCTTATCAGTTTCATGACTCGTTTGCATACATTCAAACAATAAAGCGTTTTTATTGCGTATTCTTGTCAAAAGATTTTGCTCAAGATTTCACAGAAAAAAAAACATTATTCATATATCGAAGTTCATTATCTTATGGATCAAATCAACATTAAAAGACAATCATCAAATGTAGGAATATTTTATAATGAGCAGGACGACATGTCATCGAAGCACATACCATTAACGCGAACTCGAAACTTGGATACTCATACTCTGATATGGTTAGACACATCTAAACATGTTCATGAAACACATGAAATTAAGATCAATAATTGATAATGTGCTTCTAATTGACACTATTGAATCATGTATAAAACAAATCAACAATACGAGAGAACAAATATTTTTGATTGTATCAAGTCATTATGAAGAAAATATAATTCCCAACATTCACAATCTACATCAGTTAAATTCAATTTTTATATTTGGCCAAAGTCAAATATCATCTGAACGTTGGAGAAAAGAATGTTCAAAGGTTATTTTTGCTTTAATGTTGAATTATTTAGAAAAAATAAAAATAGATATTTTTGTAATTTTAGTAGGTTCAAGGAGTCTACAATAATTTTGAATCTTTGAAAGTCGATTTGCAAAATGCAGTGAAAACTTTTCTCAAATACGAACGAATCATACCAGAATTATTCAATCCAAACAATAAAGCTTTCACAATGAATACATTACGCAATGATATATGGTTGATTAAACTATTGTATGTTTTAATTCGTCAAAAGCCACCGGTCAACAGCAAAGAACATTTCGTTCAAATGTTTAGTCTCCATTATAAAGGTAACTCAACATATAAACAAGTACTAAAAAGTTTTTCCGATACATATGATTCATCAAAAGCTGTCTACTGGTACACAAAAGACACATTCATTTATCGTATTCTTAATCAAGCATTGAGAGAACGAAATATTCAAATCATATGTGTATATCATTTTTTCATTCATGATTTGTACCAACAGATTGAATGTGCTCACCAATTACTCAAGGAAAAAACGTCAATGATGTATGTTTATCGTGGACAAATAATGTATAAAAGGGAAATTGAACGAATAAAGGAGTTAAACAAATTCAATCTTAGATTATCAAACAATTCGCTATTATCAACATCTATGAATCAAAATTGTGGTCTTAGTTTTGGTGACCGTTCACTTCGTCGCACGACATTTCGTCGCGTTCACTTCGTCACGATCATTTCGTCGCACGATCACTTCGTCGCAGAACAGTTCGTCGCAATGAAAGTACAACGAATCACCTCACTCTATTTATTCCAGCGAGAGAGAGAGAGAAAGAGAAAGAGAGAAAAAAAATTAATTGAATTAAATGATTTACATTCGTATGTTATTTCATTATCACCTAAATATACACTGTGTTTTTGAATAATTATTTCTACACAGTTACTAAAATGTACAGTTAAAAAACTAACTAATACATTTGTGAAAGACAAATAAAAAAAATTTCTTAGTGAAATACTAAGTTTCCTATTGACAGAATTTCAGCTCGGCTCCTTGAAGAGTAGATCATGATACAAACTTTTGGATAAGCATGAAAAAAAAATGGAAGGATCTTTAGCGTCTCTTCATCTGTATTATATACTATGTAGCTTTTGCAACAATGTTCTTTTTTGATTCAGAAAAATGTTCAAGCACTTAACAAAATTATGCTGAAATTTTAAATTTTTTTTAGGTTTCTGATATTAGCGAGTTTTTGCAAAATTATTATATTGGTTACATAATGTTGCAACATTCATTGAATACAATGGTTCTTTTTTGGGATGAATTTGAATTTGAAACAGTTTTATAAAGTTTCTACAATTTTATAAAGCACAGTATTTAATTTCTAAATGAGCGAGAATTTCTTGTATTCTTTTTTAATGAAAAGTTTAATTTAGTTTTAGCTAGTCTTTGTAGAGCCTTTTTTAAATTAAAGTTTGTATTAGTGTTCATTTGCGAAAGAAAAATTATTAATTTACACTTCTTTTTTTTTCTGAAAAATTGTGCTATGAGGTACGAGTTCTACTAATTGCAACAACCATGGAATTAATGAAATAACAAACGAATGTAAATCATTTAATTCAATTAATTTTTTTTTCTCTTTCTCTTTCTCTCTCTCGCTCGAATAGATAGAATGAGGTGATTCGTTGTATTTTCATTGCGACGAACTGTTCTGCGACGAAGTGATCATGCGACGAAGTGATCGTGCGACGAAATGATCGCGACGAAGTGAACGCGACGAAATGTACTAGCGCCTTAGTTTTATTGAAGGATACAAACCAAATGATGATTCTCAGGGTATTCTATTTGAAATTGAATGCAATATGAATTTGGCCAGTCGTCCATTTGCTGAAATGAAGGAAGAAAGTCATTTTCAAGAGGGAGATGAAGTTCTATTTATGCCTGGTAGTGCTTTTGCTGTTGAGGCCATTGAATTAAATGAAAAAAGTCAATTATATACTATAAAATTAAAACTCTGTGATGATGACGAGATACAAAAAGGATTCCATAAGAAAAATATATTTAAAGGTGATCGTGATACTGTTCGAGAATTGTTCAATCATATGGGAACTAGTACATTAGTTCATGAATGTTCAAATTTGGATCAACTTTATAATCATATGATAAAATTATTTTCGTTTGATAAATTAATTGAATTCGATTATCTCAAAGCAATGGGTTCGATATATTTTAAGAACAAAAATTTTCAATTGTCGATTCATTATTTTGAAAGATGTTTAGCTTTATCACAAACAATTGTTCACTCAGAAGAGAAAGATATCGCTGAATTATATTGTTCGATTGCTGAATCGCACTATCGATTGAGAAATTATAATCAAACAATTAATTTTTATCATAAAGCACTTAATCTCAATTCATTGCCTTCATCAAAAGTTATTATGCCTCATTCTTATTTAGGATTTTCATATTTAACAAGAGCAGATTGGAGTAATGTTGATGATATATCATCAGCAAAATACCATCTTCAACAAGTGTTATACATTGATTTAGAGAATGAAATATTAGGTGATGGAAAGATCATTGATATCTATCAAGCATTGGGTGATATTAATGAGTATCAAAATGACCCGAATTCAGCACTGGATTATTATACACAAGCACTTGAATTATGTGAAAGCAATCAATGGACTGATGACTCTAATGAATTTAAAGAGAAAATACAAGCGATAAAATCACATATAACTGAATCTGAACAATGCAAGACATAATATGAGCTTTAGCACTATAATTTGGAAAATAGTATTTAATTTTATGCTTCTGAGTCAATAAAATAAGCCAAATTCATTCTTGCTAGAAACTATTTTTTATTATTTGAGAAATTGTTCCAATAACAGAACGGAATTTAGCGAAAGATATAAAAACCTAATAATTGACTTTAAGTCACAGATTATTAAAAAACTAGAGAGGAAAAACAAGATGAAGTATACTAAAAAAACACAATGTTGAAGCATTAAATTAGCTATAATCACAACAAAACAGTTTTGTTATCCGATTTTAAATAAACCAAATCTCCTCCCTCTCTTAATCAAAAATTAATTTTCCCGAGAGCAACATATCTCGCTGAAGTTTTCAATGAATTTATGTCCATGTATATGTATCTCACTTGAAAACTTTTAGAACAAACTACTAGATCATTCGACACTCATTTTGGTATCATAACGATTTCCTTTATTAATGTGCCTGTATTTCTTCTTTCGACAGATACATTAGTACCCACATCTACACTCCCAACCTCATTCTTTGTACACTTTCCAAAGTGTACCTATTCACTAGTACCTATGCTATTTTGCTGACGAATTGTTTCGATTTTTTATGTGATGCCTATCATTTATTGAAGAAGATAGACTTTCGATTGTAGAGATATCATTAATCTATTGTTCATTTTTATTCTCTGTATATATTCTTGAACACATTGAGATTGAATACTATAGATTTATTCAATACCTTGAAAATTTGTACTCTTTCACAACGATTTATTATTATATCAAAGAATAGTTTATATTCATAAGAAAAGAAAATAGAATCAAATACATATGCATTTGACTCCTATTCGAGAAATATAATAAAAAATTTCTTATATTTCCTAAGATATATTAACTATTTATTTGCAATGTTCACTGGGGTAATGGTGAGCTATTTTTTTACATTTGTTAAAGGTGTAGGTGTGACCCTGAGCGCAGACATTATCTACAATTTAATGACGCATACCTACAACCATACACACCAGCATCCATACCCTCTGCAGCAGTTAAGCATATTGTCACGATAAAATCTGTAAGTGACGAAAACTCGTTTTCATTTTTAGGGTATCTGAGATAATGGAGGAGGCATAATGCTTACTCTGCGAAACCCATAGCAGCAAACCACCTATTCTCTCCTCCTTAAAATAATAGCTCGTAAAATAAGCTCTTATATCATGTTAAAGGTAAAAGTTCTTTCCATTTCGTTTTATGTTTTTACAAACGCAGACATTGCAGTCAAATAATAAGTAAGATTCTCAAGAGATAAGGTTCGTGACAGTTTCAGCAGTAAACAAAATGTAGCTGCCTTTTTTTGTTTCGGTTTGGGTGTATGAGTGTGAAGGGTGTGGGTGCGGGTGCGGGTGTTCATGAAAAAGAGACCCACATTGACACTTCATAGCCCACACCCATATCCACACCCTCCAGTAAAACACATAATACGAAATGATATGAAATTGACAATTAATATTATTAGAAAATCTATTAATCCAATCTTTTTCTACATTTTCACAAACAGAACTATTTAAAAAGATTAGATACAAATAAAAATAATGATAGGATTAACATGTCCTTAACAAATGTAATTTAAGCCATTGTAAAAAAATTAGATTTTTTTTAAATCTAAATTTAATTGGTTGTCACTTATGTTTAAAATAAAATCATAATAAAAATATATTTATATATTAAAATATTATAAATACATAATGTTAATATAGAAACTCTTATTAATTCAGAACACATTATGGTCTAATCTGAGAATATACAATAAAATTTCTCTATCCTATTATCTCTTTTTACTACAAAACTTATTTTGATTTAAGCATTGAGATATAACAATATCATAAAGGCATGTTTCTCATGATCTTATTTGATAATTTTATTTTCGTGTAATGTAATAAACAAAGAATAGTTTTCATCTAACATTGAGACAAATTGTTGACTCACATAAATTTAAAAGTAATTAAAGAATATTTTCAAATTATTTTTCTAATGATTTAACTATTACTTATATATCTTGAATATTATCTTTGTAACAATTTAATTTATTTATTCAACAAACTTTTAGTAATATATTTTAACTTTTTATAGAAAAAATTGGTAAGTTGTTGAAATAATCAGTTTCATAACAATGACTATTTTTGGTTAAATCTGAACAAAAATTAACATTCACTTCAATATATTTATCTTCATTGATTTTGTATGTTATCAAATATTTATTATTAAGTTATTATCATTTATATATAATTAATTATTTAAAAAACAAAAATAACTATTTATGTCAATTTAAGATGAAACAATACAAAGTTAATGAAGAAATATTACTCAGTTTGAAAGGATCTTCAATATAGGAATCAATATTTTGTCTATTTCTATGAAATATATTAATAGTATTATATAAGCATTTTATAAAAAGAAGATAAATGTTTTTATTAACACAATATTTTTTTTGATAATTGATTCCTATTTATTATATTTTAGTATATTTTATTTGACGTTTTCTTTTTAAATGAACTTAGCCAATATAATTTTATTCAATAAACTAAAAATAAAATATAATTTCTGATATAAATATTTAAATCGTTAAATAATAGTTGAAAATTTCGAAATAAATTAGTTTATTTCATCCTAATACATATGAGAAGATACATAAAAATATAAAATGCATATTTTAGATATCAAATTCTTTCACATTATTTCTTGAATGTATTTATAAAGTATATATTTTAATTTATATAGATTATATTGGTATGAAATCTAGTAGAATACTGTTCATTCGCGATAATTTATTATTAAGACTAAAAATACATGATTAGAATTATTTTTTTATTTAGTTTGAATTAAATATTTTCTATTGTTCAAGATTAATAAAATAATCATTAGAATATTTGTTTTAGTTTCTTTACTTTAGAAAATTTTCTATAATTATTTTTTAATATAGTTGAAAGATATTTTTAATGAAAATAGATCAAAATTCTATTATAAATTTTCAATTTTGACCGCGAAAAAAAGAACTAAACGGTTTCTTTATCGATAATTATCATCTATAATAAGAAAATCTAATTGTTTTCAGCATTGAAAGTAAATTTATTTCATAAATTCTAATGAGTACGAGAAAGTGTTACTTGTTTTACAAGAGTATCAATCATTTGATTATATTCCTATAAAGAAGATCATAAAAAAAAATAAAAATTTTATAGGAAACTACTTGAATTAAGAAAATTAATTTTTTCAATAACATAAACATTATATTTTAAGAGTTTTCTTCATAAATTTAAGCTTTGAGATTGATAACATTTAGTTGTTCTTATTAAAGATAATAGACTTATAGACATAGTTAAAGTCATGTCTTTTGATAGAGAAAATTCATTCAAAAATATTGTCTTAAACTGTAGATGAAACTGAAATAAATAAATTTGTTGTAATGAAAATGATTTTAACAACAAAATGCTTTTTCATAAAGCTTGAGGTTCGTTTACAAATTCTCCTAATCGAGAGTAAAGCTCGTAATATTCTACACATATTTATTTTCTATACGCCGTTAGATGAATGTTGTTGAATAATGTTTAAAAAACTCGAAATAGAGAATTGATAATGAAATGTTGAGTCGAAAGTTAAATATTCTTTATGACTCCTGTTTCATGACATTGAAAGTCCATAATATTGATAAATTTTATTTTAATAATTAGAATTTGAAATATTTAAGATGATAAATTTATGATTAAGTCTAACGATACCCGATATACATAATACATATTATCTTATCTAAAAATAATTTTGATATGAAGAACAATTCTTTCTTATTTTATATTAATTTTATGCTAATTAAGAGTGTGGGTGTGGGTATTGATGTCTTGTTTACCCGCACCCACACACAGCCACGCCTTCACTCCACTTCACATACCAGCACCCACACCCAAAAGGTTATTACCCCATCTATGCAATAAATTATGTCCTCTCCCGGAGTTATTTGTGTAGATTATAAACTAATTGTTTTTCGAATCATGACAGACTGACCAAGCTGTGATTCATTTCAAAAGCACAAAAATGTCGATTGATTTATACTTGCGAATTGAAATTGTTCTGATGATGGCCAAATTAGAATTACCATCATCAGTTAGACGGTTTTTTCAATGTGGAAATGTGTTTAATCTTCCTTCAGAAAAATCCATTAAAGCTGTTCATGATAAATGCATCGAAAATGGATCTGCGCTTGATCGAGAACGATCACAAGACCATTCTTAATAACTGAAGAAAAGTTAGACGAAATTGAAGAAGTTTTATCCACTAGTTCAATGATCAGTGTTCGTTGTATTTCTCAAGAAGTCAACCTATCCAAAACAGTGGTGCATCGTACAATGCGCGATTTACTATGTTATAAACCATATAAAATGCATCTAACACAACAGCTATATAACGAAGACAAGGACTTACGTGTTGTGATGGCCGAAATCCTATTACCAATTATCGATGATGAAGATAATGATGGTTTGTCTTTTTTTTTCTGATGAAGCAACATTCTATGTTTCAGGCATGGTTCATAAAAATAACTTTCGTATTTGGTCTCAAGAAAATCCTTTTGCTACTATGGAAGTTGCAATAAACTGACCAAAAGTTACAGTTTTGTGCACGATGTCAAGTAAAGTAATAATTGGACCTTTCTTTTTTGAGGAATCAACAGTTGACCAAGACACTTATCTTGATATGCTTCAAAACTTTTTCTCTCCCGTTTTAGAGAAGAAAAAACTGACTGAAAGAATCATTTTTCAACAAGATGGAGCATCTGCTCATTTCGCAAAATCAGTTCGTTTATGGCTGGATGACAAGTTCAATGATCGATGCATTGGGAGTTTTTTTATGGGGATACATCGGAACAAATATTTACAAAACAAGAATTAAAGATCTGAACGAATTAAAAGCTCGGATAACTCAAGAAACTCAATCAATCGAAAAGAAAAACTTTGCACAAT